GCCTGTTTATTCCGCTCTGCCCAGCGAGATGCAGACCAGGATCTTTGACCCGGCTCCACCCGGCAGCAGAAAGGTGAGGAGGTTTAACATTTAGCATTGCAAAGCTGCACATTACAGCAGTCATGAATGGCTTCCTTTTGCATGGTAACAATGTAGTAAGTTATGGAATTGTTATCCTGGTTATCGAAGAATAGAATAGAAGATACATGTTGTGTTTTAAGGGCAATAAAGTTAGGTCAGTAAGTATGACTTGATGTGTACTTGCCTAAACCTTTGAATCAATTGTTGACCTTTCATATTTCTTTCCCTCAGGTCGTCATCGCCACCAACATTGCAGAGACGTCTCTGACCATCGATGGAATCTACTACGTGGTGGATCCTGGCTTTGTCAAACAGAAGGTGTACAACTCTAAGACCGGCATTGACCAGCTGGTGGTAACTCCCATCTCACAGGTACGACACAACATCAACAAGAGTCAAAATGTCAGATAATTTTTCATATCTTATTGAGCCGTATTTTTAAAATATCTGTTATGAATTTTAGGCTCAGGCTAAGCAGAGAGCAGGTCGAGCCGGCAGAACGGGTCCAGGAAAGACTTACAGACTCTACACAGAGAGAGCCTACAGAGACGAGATGCTCACGACCAATGTGCCCGAGATCCAGAGGACTAACTTGGCCAGCACTGTGCTCTCTCTGAAGGTAAACAACACGCTGAAAACAGCTGCTTCAGACAATTATTCATGCTACACAAACGTGCAGCTGAAGTTTTACAGGAGAGTGTGGTTCTAAATACATTAATAATCTCTCTCTTAACAATAATGTTTCCTCCACCAGGCGATGGGCATCAACGACCTCCTGTCTTTTGACTTCATGGACGCTCCTCCCATGGAGACTCTGATCACGGCCATGGAGCAGCTCTACACTCTGGGCGCTCTGGATGATGAAGGTTTACTCACACGGCTCGGGAGAAGGGTGAGAAAGACTTTGATTTAGAGGTTTATCTCTTTTCTTTTTGCCCATGTCGTCGTCTTCTTTGACATTGTTCTAATATTCTGTATCTTTTATTTTCTGTTCCCTTTTCTTCCAGATGGCTGAGTTTCCTCTGGAGCCCATGCTGTGTAAGATGCTGATCATGTCCGTCCATCTGGGCTGCAGTGAAGAGATGCTCACCATCGTCTCCATGCTGTCTGTGCAGAACGTCTTCTACAGGCCAAAGGTAAGCCCAACAAAACTACACCCACATGTCTAAAAAGACTCCTGCTACTCTTCCTGGGGTCTGCGACATGATCACCGGTAAACAGAGTACATACAAATATACCATACAAGAATTCAATAGGTGGGCTGTTTTTACATCAAATTAGAAAATCCAGATTTAAGAAATGACACAGTTTTGAACATTTTACGTGTAGCTACTTTTGTAAAAAAAAGATTTACTACATTAGTCACAATCTATAGAAACTAATTCAGAGGATAATTTGCTGAATGTAAATCTAGAAAAAAAACAATAAGAAGGTCTACAAATAACATATGTGGTGTTCAACCACTCGTTGTTTATTCTAGGCATGAGATCTGGTTTTATTTTCTCCATGCAGAAAAGTGAAGAAGAAAAGAACAGACAGTTTCTATTTTCGTTTCCTCCACTTTTCTAAATTCATTTGTTCTCTCAGCATAAACTCCCACACAGGGCCGTGCATTGATCTGTCCTCGATCTATTTTCCTCTTGTGTTACAGGACAAACAGGCCTTAGCCGACCAGAAGAAGGCCAAGTTTCACCAGCCTGAGGGAGACCACCTCACACTGCTGGCTGTGTACAACTCCTGGAAGAACAACAAGTTCTCCAACCCCTGGTGCTACGAGAACTTCATCCAGGCTCGCTCGCTGCGCAGAGCTCAGGACATCCGCAAACAGATGCTGGGAATCATGGACAGGTACGGATGTTAAAATCATAAAGCTAACATGGTAAATGTCATTAACTGAACCTGGGATTGCTTTGACTTCTTCTGGTTTCTCATGAACCTCCAACATGCTCTCTTCTCTTCAGACATAAGCTGGATGTGGTTTCTTGTGGGAAGGCGACGGTCAGAGTCCAGAAAGCCATCTGCAGTGGTTTCTTCAGAAACGCAGCCAAGAAGGATCCTCAGGAGGGCTACAGAACACTTATAGACCAGCAAGTGGTTTACATCCACCCCTCCAGCGCTCTATTTAATCGCCAGCCTGAGTGGTAAGACTTCATCTGTCTTTAAGAGTTTTGTAACTTTGGTAAAATACCGTCGTTAAGGTATTCAAAAGAGTTTAAAAATTCAGTTAGTGACGTCCTGCTTCTTATCCTCAGGGTCGTATATCACGAGTTGGTCCTGACCACGAAGGAGTACATGCGGGAGGTGACCACCATCGACCCGCGCTGGCTGGTGGAGTTTTCCCCCGCCTTCTTCAAAGTGTCCGACCCCACACGCCTCAGCAAGCAGAAGAAACAGCAGCGCCTGGAGCCTCTGTACAACCGCTACGAGGAGCCCAACGCCTGGAGAATCTCTCGCGCCTTCAGACGCCGCTGAGTCTGATGTTGTTAATGCAGAACTTCAGTGTTTTGACAGCGATGAAATAAACAGATACAGCACGGGGAAATGTGATCAGACCCTGCTGGTTTATGTCTGTGTCTTCACCTTCAGACTGTTTTCACTCTTTTTTGTACACGTTGTACATTTTCCACCCGATAGGTCCGTCATCGTCCCGTCAGTCTGTGAGGGAATTTTAGCAGCTTTAGTGTAGAGAACTCCAGAGCTACTTTGTTTTCATGGCACTAATACAGCAACAAAAAGAAAAGGTCCACATCTGTCGTGTAAGACGGCTGTTTTAAAGGATAATCTTCTGTGAGGAGATTCTGTAAAACGGTGGAGGATTTATTTTGATATTGTGTAAATTTGAACAGCTTAATGCTCAACGTGAATATGACCTGATAGAAATGTAAAAGGACCTTTTCATGAGTCAATACTCCTCTGTCAGACTGTAAGGATTGATCTGCACATACAGTTTATGTTTGATAGATTTTGTACTATGACTATGACGGCATTTCACTCACTTGTCTCTGTATCCTAAACTGTTGCTTCGCTCAGCTTGTCAATGAAAAATATGTCCTTATTAAATACAGTTTTCTTAAGCAGCTGCTTGGTTTATCTGAACTTAAAGGAGAAGGAAGATGCAGAAGATAAAGGAAGGTTTTTGTTCTGGGAGATGTTGGTTTGTAGATGTTGGTTACCCATACCACACAGAAACTAAAATAATAGACCCTAAGACATTTCAGAGTACAACTTCAAAATGACAACAGCTTTAAACTGCACATAATGGATTTGACTTTCAATGTAATATACGTAATTGTTGATAATCTATCGATGTTTAAGGCTTGTTAAAGAAGTTAACTGGCCACTTCATACAGATAGATAGATGATGGGTACTTTATTAATCCTTTGCAGGAAAGGACACCATGACAGCAGCAATTGCAATCACAGTCAAGACATCACACATAAAACTAACAAATACCATTTAGGCACATCAAAAATACTAAGATCCGATTTTTAAAACTAGATTCAAATGTTGGTATTATAAATAAAATACATCCCAGAAATGTAATTAACCTTTAGTGTATATATAAACAGGTTATATTCTCTTTAGTCTGACAAAAAAAGGTGTCCACTCAGCAAATACCAACTCAAAACAAAAGTAGTTAAAAATGTGCATTGAATTTCTCAGTATTAGCCCAACTCTGTGAAATCTTGTCAAAAATGTTCAACATCATATCAACTTCTACCCTACTCAAATCTAATGAGCAGAGGAGGAGTTCAGATCCTGTTTTGAATCAGTACATTGACATGTTATATATAGAATATATTACCTTTGTATTTAAATGTAATAGAAGAAATGTAGCAATGACAGACTACTCTGTTAGAGGGGCCAGCATACAAAATGTTCCATTGGTAATCTAAAGGAGTTTAAGTGTTATACGACATGCTGTAGAAAAAGGTTTCACCTGTTTGCATTGTTTGTACTGATCAATTTATTGTAAAGCAGCATTCTGGAGTCGCAGGAAAAAAATGATGAACACATTTGAGTAGCCTAATAATTAAAAGAACTGCATCCTTTTTATTTATGTTTTTATGACTTATGTATGAATAATTGTTTTCCTTCAATACTTAAACACTTACTCATAATTGGAGTTAATAAAAATAATAATAATTTACTGAACTTTGACAAGTTTCAGGATCAGAATCAGTTTGTTATTGAGGAATTTGACTTGATGTTTGGTACAAAACAATTAGGAAAGGACTAAAGCAGAAAATAGTAAGAAGCTATAAAACAGCAGTGCTGACAACTTTCCTGCTGACTGAAGCAATTCAAAAATATAATAGTATATTAAACATCTGTTGTCTTATTTACTCCTTAACAGCATGTAATGGGAATATTAAAACGGATGTCAAATTAGAGCTGGGAAATATATCAAGTTTTTATTATATACATATATATTGATATATTTTCAAACAATATATAGGGTAAGATAATATCTTTAATATGGATATAGTTTATGTTACATTAAAATAACATTACAGAGGTGCCAGGTCACCTTTTCCTCATCTCACTGATGATGACTGTCTGTCCCTCTTCACCCTGCTCCTCCTCTCTCTCTCTTTTATTGTATTAAAGGAACATTTTAACTTTATAATATTACTTTTTAAATTCACAAACAGGTAGTTTATTTTTCCATGTGTTTTCACTGTTAATAAAAATACATATCGATATATATCGAGTATCGCCATTCAGCTAAACAATATCAAGATATGAGTTTTGGTCCATATCCTGCAGCCCTAAGTCAAATACCGTAAAACTGCATCCACGTACTGTAAGAGTTAATATGTACACGTGTATTATTGTAGTCTGCTGTATGACCGCTAGGGGGCAGCAGCGCCGGAACACGTCAGGGCTCAAAACCAAAGAAGAAGAACGACTTCCCAGTTCAATTCTAAATAAGCAACAGACATGGCTGCTTCAGACGAGATAAAACGTCTTGAATATTTATCTCTGGTGTCTAAAGTGTGCACGGAGCTGGAGAATCATCTGGGAATAAGCGAGAAAGATTTGGGTAACGTTCCGCGTCATGACAGCGCTGTTTGTGTCTTCAATGTGGTGAACAGTTTTATTTGGTTTTATTGTCAACATGAGCTAAAGTGGCTAACCACTAATGTTTGTGTTTCAGCTGAATTTATTATTAGTCTTGCTGAAAAGCACCCGACGTTTGAGGACTTTAAAGCAGTTCTGTCTAAAAATGGAGCAGATTTTACAGTAAGTGTTTTTCATTTTCCCTGTTTGTTGTTGTTGTTGTTGTTTTGTATTTTCCCACTAAAACAATGTTCCTATTTCCTCAGGATACACTTACTGGTAATTTACTTAGACTTATTCACACCATGCGGCCTCAACCATCCACAAGTAAAGGTACACACCTCACCTTCACAGCATGTTGTGTTTTAACATGTGGTGTGTTTTTTATGTCTAAAGTTCTGCTGTTTAATAATCTCTCTGTGTCTGTGTGTGTGTTTTGATTGACAGCTCATCAGTCAGAGTTCAAACCAGACAGAGAGAAGGGAAAGCTGATAGAGAAATATCCTGCCTTATGTAAACCAGATGATCCTGTGTGGATAGTAAGGCTCATTTGCTCTCTGTATGAGTTACATACACCTCTTTGTCAGCAGGCGACTGAGCAGAAGTCCATGAGCGTTCTCCCTTTAATATATATCCTCTCCATCAGATTCCACCAAGCCAGCCGGATAAAGATGACGAGCATGTCGCAGCGGCAGCCATGAAGGAGCTGGAGATGCTGATGCCTAACTTCAGTGGAACAAGCAGTGATAACAGGTCATTTAAAAGAAAGTGGTGACCTGCCTTTAGGAAGTCATACATTTTTATTGAATCATCTTTTTAAAACACTACTCATCTGGGAATAGACTAGCGGTTATGTCGTGCACCCCATGTACGGAGGCTATAGTCCTGGTTGCAAGTTCAAGTTATCTTTATTAGTCAAGTGCACAACATAACAGGCAAAGCAGTCATAGCTGGCAATGACATTTTTGTGTTCCAAGCTCTCCTTAACAATGCAAAAATAAATAAAATAAAATTATATATAAATAAAAAAGAGACTTGTAATCCCTCCTCGGCCCTGTGCTGGTCATCCCCCTCTCTCTCCTCCCATCATCCTGACTGTCTTCAGCTGTCTTATCTAATAAAGGCGGGTTAAAAAATAACCTCTACATATTGGCAACACAAATGTGACTTCTGTTTCTCCTCAGCTCTGCGAGGCCGTCGCAAGGTGACAGAGGCAGAGGTACGGAGGGTCAAAGCGGACGGAAGAGAAGCCGCTCCAGATCCAGAGATCGTGAGGGAGAAGCAATCCCTAAACAAAGACGGAAACGGGTGTCTCGATGGAGCGACCATCCTCCCAGCCCAAGCAGAGTCGTCGTCAACAACAACAACAACAAGGAGGACAAAGATTCAGACAGATGCCGTGACAGACTCGTAGATCGACCTCCTCCAGAGGAGCCGGTTGTAGGCGACATCTACATCGGCAAAATCAGCAGTATTATGCAGTTTGGCTGTTTTGTGCAGCTAGAGGGTCTACGGTCAGTAAACTTCAATAAATCTTTACAGACTTGTACAAGTGTAAGCATATTTTAATCTTTAAGGAATTAATTATTTGTGTTTGTAATATTTCTCCCTTTTATACAATCATAAGCTTTTAAATGATGAAAACAGTTTCTGTTCTATATAAGGGTTGTCACTATATTATTTCAAATTTTAATAGGATTCTAGCAAAAAAATCCACCGATATGGAATTCTGTTTCAATACTACAGCAACAAAAAATGGAAGTCCTAGGCACCCAATGTTTGGAAATGTTTTGTTTTTAATTACAAAAAATTGCAGGCAAACTCCGGCCCATTGATTTAATTGCACAAATACGATGGCAACGTTTCAGTACAGATATGTTACCGACATATTAGTGCAATTTAAGCAGTTCTCTCTCTCTCTCTCTTTTTCTCTTGCAGCAACTTTTGGTTAAAATTTTAACTTAAGATTTTGTTTTTTAAGCTTCAGCAGTTTTTCATCTTTGGAGCATTAAAGTAATGAGATCTCATCATTTGTGTAAGGTACAGATCACTCAGTACCTTACACGTGGTATTGAAAAGTATAGAACATTTTGATAACCTTTTTTTTTTTATGTAACCTCTTGTGCAGTCATGGTAACATAAGTAGTCAGGAAATGCTTTAGGTAACAAGTGGTCAAAAAGCTCCAGCAACACTTCTGACCACTTCTAGCCTTTCACTCTTCATGCACCTTGTTAGTTGGTGTTGTGCCTGAAAATCCCCACTCAGCGTCTTTAATTAACAAGTCACAGTTTTCCACCAGCTTGCATGTGAAGTTGCTGTTTTTTTGTTTCCATCTTGATCATTAACGTACTGTTTTTTTTTTTTTTTACTGACACTGTCTCTAGAAAACGCTGGGAGGGCCTGGTGCACATCTCGGAGCTGCGCAAAGAAGGACGTATAGCAAATGTGGCAGACGTGGTCAGCAGAGGTCAAAAAGTAAAGGTCAAAGTGCTCTCGTTTACTGGAACCAAAGCCAGCCTTAGCATGAAGGTGAGTAACATAATACCTGCACACATCTTACAGTGTGATGCACAAACCAAGGCCAAAAGTTTTGTAGTTACTGTGGATGATTTATGTGTTGGATAAGGAATCATGCATTTGTTCCTCACTGATGTCTTTTATCAGGATGTGGACCAGGAGACAGGCGAGGACCTGAACCCAAACCGGAGAAGAAACCTGGACACTGGACCCGGAGAGGAGGCCATGAGGAACCCGGACCGCCCCGTTGAAGCCAGCATGCTGGAGTTAGAGGAAAACACAACAGAACGCAAACGTCTCACCAAGATCACTGACCTGGAAAAGTGGGAAGTAAAACAGGTATTCCTCCTCACGGGTTCTTACATCACTACTGCTGGTTTGATTGACAGTTCTCATTAAAGCTACATTTCCTTCGTTCAGATGATTGCAGCCAACGTGCTTCCAAGAGAAGAGTACCCAGAATTTGACGAGGAGACGGGAATCCTTCCCAAGATAGATGATGATGAAGGTAACAGGCTGTTCTTTTCAGTTGTCTGCAAATTCAAAGTTATACTTCAACATAACTCTTTATTTATCTTTCCATAGATGAAGATATGGATATTGATCTGGTCGAAGAGGAACCACCATTTCTGAGAGGACAGACTAAATGGAGCACCAACATGAGTCCAGTCAAAATAGTCAAGGTGCACTAATGTAAATCCAGAATTCAGAAAATAGTTTGCGGTCCGAGCAGATCATGTAAATTGAATCCTGTTGGTGACTTTTAGATCAAAATTGAGCTGTTAAACTAAATTGTCCTTGTTGTCCGTTAGAATCCAGATGGCTCCCTCTCCCAGGCGGCCATGATGCAGAGCGCTTTATCTAAGGAGAGGAGAGAGCTGAAGCAGGCGGCGCGAGCAGCAGAGATGGACTCAATCCCGACCGGTCTCCACAAGAACTGGATCGACCCCATGCCTGATTGTAAGGACACGATCTACACATTTTTAATAATCAGGCAAACACATTTTAGAGATGGAGAGTACTGTGTGAGTTTGAATTAAATCATAAAGGGACCTTACTATTCGATCAGACATTAAGGAAACATGCTATGTTGAAGTGCTGGCTTCTCTGACAACAATGCAGCAGCCAGTATGTCCTCCTTCTAACTTTAGATTCTGCTCCTGAATGCTCTGGATTTTATTTTGACCAGAGAAGGTAGGCGGTTTGTCAGGCAACCCCACACGGCCGATTTGGACACCCCTCAGTTTGCCAGATATGAGAGCAGTTATCAGGTCAACAGGTGTTGCAGCGATGGAAGCGGGTCAAGAGAAGTGGTTCAGATAGAAGTGATTGTACCCGACCTAAAAAGCCTCTGCATGTTTCTAATAAGCTCCACGAGCAGAAACGTGCTCAAACTAGGATCAATATTGGAGATGCTTTTGAAAAATGGAGAGAGGTTAGAACACAGAAAGGTTTACAGACCCATGCAGAGCTGGATAAACACTGAAGCTTCAGAGTCCACCACATGGTGACCTGAGTGAGCATCCACTCTAGAGAGGGGGGGGGAGACAGCGCTCTACAATGTTTTGAATTTGGACTGCAGTACCCATTTTAAACACTAGGTGTCAGAGTTACATATTGCTCCTTTAAGCATCATTTTTTAAAAACAAATAAAAATCAACAAACATGCCTCCCAAACGGAAACCAAGTCAAATTGAATATATCTTCAGTTGGAGAGATTTGAAATGTAGGAAACAGCATTGAACCATCCGCCCTGCACCAGGCCTGTTACACAGTAACTCTGTTCCGCTGGCATGGCTGGAGATGGTTATCTAGCTTCCCTATGAGTTTACACTTGCACACACACACACACATAATGTCATGATCCACTGTGACTCATTCTTCCATCGCCTTAAGGGATAGCAGAGGCTGAATAAGTTCCTTCCTCCCTTGGTTCCTACCTCTGACTCAGTTAAATACAAAAAGAGCTTGTTGTGAAATGAAATATCAGTTCATCTTGCTTAAATTAAAGAGAAGATGGAGTGTGGATTTGACTTTTGGGACTCCTTGCTCCTTTCCTGTTCAGATGAAGGAAGGCAGATCGCTGCCAACATGAGAGGTATCGGTGCCATGCCTCTGGATCTTCCAGCGTGGAAGAAATACGCCTTCGGAGGGAACCAGGTGTCCTATGGCAAGAAGACAGAAATGTCCATCCTGCAGCAGAGAGAGAGCCTGCCCATTTTCAAGCTTAAGGAGCAGCTCGTTCAGGTACAGGCAACGGAGAAACAACTTTAAGCACTTGGAATTGACGCAAAAACACCACAGGGAAGACAGTCCATTCATCCCAGTACTGCAAACACTTTCCTGTCGTCAGTGTAAATGAGTACGGAAGCCCTAAGTGGACACACAGCAATATGTTTTATTCAACTCCATTTTCCTGTGAGAACGAGTTCATTCTGGGTGTTTTCTCCAGATGTCAACGTATTTATTGCAGTGGGTTAATAACGCAGCTTTTCCTGTGATGATGAGTTCATTTCAGCTGTTTTCTGTAGATCTTGAGAATCACAGAAAAAGCAGCGTTATTATCCCGTGATAACGAGAAAAATAGAGATTCAGAGAAAACTACTGAAATGTACTTGTTAGCATGGAAACACGGAGTAAATGTTGCTTGTGACGTGGGTTTACCCCCCTCCTATTGGCTCGAGGTGAAATCTCCGGAGAATATCCTGCTGTGTTCTCACATCAGCTCACTCGGACTTGCTGCGGAAAAAATACTAGGAGGCTGACAGGAGAAACTCCGGGTGAAGTCTGAGAGAAAAATGCGGCTGTTTGCGTTCACACATGTAGCTCCTCCTGGAAATATATCAGGAGTTTTTCAGGAGATTTCTGCAAGTGTGAAAACCCTAATGTTTCTGTTGTTAAAGCTTTGTTGTCACACTCTTTGTCCTGACAGGCTGTCAACGACAATCAGATCCTCATCGTAGTTGGAGAAACCGGCTCCGGTAAGACCACACAGATCACTCAGTACCTTGCAGAGGCCGGTTACACCGCCAGGGGGAAGATCGGCTGTACGCAGCCTCGTCGTGTGGCCGCCATGTCGGTCGCCAAGAGAGTCTCTGAGGAGTACGGCTGTCGTCTAGGCCAAGAGGTGAGTGATGTACTAAATCTGTACAGGAACTGATTAGTCAGAGCTTTCCCTAAAATGTCAAATGAGTTTTCTGTTTCCTGTAACATATCCTTAATTCTTTCTCTCAGGTGGGCTACACCATCCGTTTTGAAGACTGCACCTGCACAGAGACGGTGATCAAATACATGACCCACGGCATGCTGCAAAGGGAGTGTTTGATCGACCCCGACATGAGCCAGTACTCCCTCATCATGCTGGATGAGGCCCACGAGAGGACGATCCACACCGATGTGCTGTTTGGCCTTCTCAAAAAGGTATTTCACAATCTGCATCCTTAAATCATCGTTAAATAAAGCTCATAACGTATATCCATGTGGTAATAATAATTCTCTCTGATTCTTTCAGACGATAAAAAAACGCAAAGACATGAAGCTGATCGTGTCCTCAGCTACTCTGGACGCCGTGAAGTTCTCCCAGTATTTCTTTGAAGCTCCCATCTTCACCATCCCAGGGAGGACTTTTCCGGTGGAGGTCCTCTACACCAAAGAACCTGAGACGGACTACCTGGATGCCGGTCTCATCACGGTCATGCAGATCCACCTGACAGAGCCTCCAGGTACGGTTGAGTCAGAGAAATGGTTGCTATGCCATCTTGAGTACAGGGCTTCAAACTAAACTTTGCTGCCCTCTGTCCAGGTGACGTCCTGGTGTTTCTGACGGGTCAGGAGGAGATCGACACGGCCTGTGAGATCCTGTATGATAGGATGAAGTCTCTGGGCCCTGATGTCCCTGAACTCATCATCCTGCCTGTTTATTCCGCTCTGCCCAGCGAGATGCAGACCAGGATCTTTGACCCGGCTCCACCCGGCAGCAGAAAGGTAAAGAAATGCACAACAACAATCCTCCCACTTCTCTGTTAGATTTTAAATATATTGAACGAGTGGTGGCTTTTCAGCACAGAATAAATCACACATGTAAAAACTGAAATTCATTTCTTAATCTGTGTTTTTGTGTTTGTGTTCAACGGCAGGTCATCATCGCCACAAACATCGCTGAGACGTCTCTGACCATCGATGGAATCTACTACGTGGTCGACCCTGGTTTCGTCAAACAGATCGTCTATAACTCCAAGACGGGAATCGACCAGCTGGTGGTGACTCCCATCTCACAGGTCATCCATTTGGACAACTTTTTCTATCAGATGAATTTGTTGATTTTTGTTTTGTGGCCAATTTGTGGATTGCAGGTGAACATCGAGAAGTAAACCCTACTGATAAGAAATTTATTGATTTTCTTCTTTTTTTTTTACATATTTTTAAAAACGACAAACAGATGGGTGCCACTAAAGCAAAGCACCCACTGATACTGATTTTATAAAAAAATTAAACTACTTCCCTGACATGCAGCCATGTTTGGTAGAAAACACATGAAAAATTCAACACCAGCTTGACTGCGAGTTACCACCAGTTTTAACATTACTTTCTGCAGTTTTATTCCTTCTTTTCCAAAGTGCACCTGCCCTGGATGATGTTGGTATTTGAAGGATGTAAATTGCAGTTTTTAAGAGTTGAGAGAAGCACGTCTTGCTAGCAAGTGGGCATGGTTTTATCGCCTGCATCCTAGAGGAGAGATTACTGCTCAATGAATTAATCTGAATGTTTTCTAACTTAATTTTATATACTTAACCGTTTCTTACATTCCAGGAAGTCTCCCTGTTGTTCAACAAACTTCAAATAGACTGGGACATCAATATCACACAATCGAGGGATCAATATGAACGCACAAAGACGTGATGACGGCTGAGTTTAGTTATAACACTTCTAAAAAAAAAAAAAGAAGGGCTAGAGCGAGACGGACATTTCATCGTTACATAATCCTTCTGAACAAATTCACTGATCTGTTTTTCCAGGCTCAGGCTAAGCAGAGGTCAGGCCGAGCGGGCAGAACAGGTCCAGGAAAGTGTTACAGACTCTACACGGAGAGAGCCTACAGAGACGAGATGCTCACAACCAATGTGCCCGAGATCCAGAGGACTAACTTGGCCAGCACTGTGCTCTCTCTGAAGGTAACGAGGCTATTCAATCTGAGCCTTACTAATGACTTTGTTGCCTTTAATTATTATCTTCTTGCAGGCGTTACAATTATTTGTCTGTGATTTTTACCCTCCGTTATTTTTCTCTCCTCCACCAGGCGATGGGCATCAACGACCTCCTGGCCTTCGACTTCATGGACGCTCCTCCCATGGAGACTCTGATCACGGCCATGGAGCAGCTCTACACTCTGGGCGCTCTGGATGATGAAGGTTTACTCACACGGCTCGGAAGAAGGGTGAGGACAACAAGGAGATCAATGAGCTCGGACAAGCTTCAAGTTGCATTGATGATTCTGATGATGCAGCAGTTTTTTCCAAGCTCTGTATTCATGCAGTATATATCTGTGTTTTTTTGGTTTTTGGTTGACATTTCTTCCAGATGGCTGAGTTTCCTCTGGAGCCCATGCTGTGTAAGATGCTGATCATGTCCGTCCATCTGGGCTGCAGTGAAGAGATGCTCACCATCGTCTCCATGCTGTCTGTGCAGAACATCTTTTACAGACCAAAGGTAAACAGAGGACACACAGGAACAGTCACAACGCTTCATTAAGCTTCTGTAACGCGCACATTGTTTAACTGTGGTCGCTGATCAGGCAAAAAAAAAAGTTTTCTCTTAAGATATTTGACAATAAAGAACTTATTTCGGCAACAGCGCGGAAACATTTTTGGGAGATAATGAGTTTCAGATTCAATACTTTGAAAAACAAATTGCATGTCTTCCATTTCAGGACAAACAGGCCCTCGCTGATCAGAAAAAGACAAAGTTCTTCCAGCTCGAGGGAGACCACCTCACACTGCTGGCGGTCTACAACTCCTGGAAGAACAACAAGTTCTCCAACCCCTGGTGCTTTGAGAACTTCATCCAGGCTCGCTCCTTGAAGAGGGCTATGGACATCCGCAAACAGATGCTGAGCATCATGGACAGGTGAGGATGTGCTCGATCAACTCATGTCAGAATTGAAGGAAATATTCACACAGTATTTTACATCAATCACATTGAATCTTAACTTGATGTTTTGAGGGGAAAAAAACACTTTAAAAGTCACAATATTCACCATTAACTAACTACTTATTAGCATGCTAATATGTACAATAAGATACTAATAATCGCTTAATAATGACTAATTAGCATGCTAATAAGATAGTAAATGAAATGGTGAATATTTTGACCCTGATTTAAAGCGTTAGCAATCTATGATATGCATCAAGCTAACTGACTGAAAGTGCAGCACATTAAACTTGAGCAACTCGTTACACTCTCCAGGCACAAGTTGGACGTGGTCAGTTGTGGAAAATCCTCGATGCGGGTCCAGAAAGCCATTTGCAGCGGTTTCTTCAGGAACGCCGCCAGGAAGCACCCACACGATGGCTACCGTACCCTGATCGACCAGCAGGTGGTGTACCTCCACCCCTCCAGCACGCTCTTCAACAGGCAGCCGGAGTGGTGAGTCCTGAATTCACACTGCTGGGGATGACCCGAGGTGTAGACTCTGTGATAAGGATGGGAATATTTTAACATATCCACAAACTTTATTTGGACCCACTGTTGCTGTGCTGCCTCTGGAATTGTTACGTTATATAGATTTCCTGTATAATCAGAGTTATGATTACTAAAATAATTAGTTAAAAGTCAATTAGGAAAGATTTAATGAATTCTACTGCTGAATGTTCACTGATTTACAGCTTCTTAAATTCATGCGTTTACTGCTTTTGCCTGTTTTATAGAGCTGCAAACTAGTTACAGCATGTTTGAGAATTCATCTGTGATAAGAAGATTTCACTTCTGTGGCATCGTTTCAAAAAATATTACCCAATAAACCACAGCTCTTTATTTTATCTGTGAATAGATGTAAAGAAGAAGGTCCTTTATTGTTTCCTGGAGTACTTTTTTCAGTGTTTTTCCATTTCCTGGCGTCAACCTTTGGGTGGAGAATGTGTAGCCTCAAGCTGATAACAGGGCACAGGTGTGAAGTCAGGACTCTATAAAAATTTAGCAACCAGGTGCAGGATCTTAAGGAAGCATTCAAGATTTTTTACGGTAGTTACTAATGAATTTCCTGTTGGATGAATAATGCTCCCTCTGTTCAGGATTGAGTGTTAATAAAACATAATCCATAGGTGTCATCTTAATCCTTAACTGTATTCCCGTCCCTTCAGGCTGGTGTACCATGAGTTGGTTCTGACCACCAAAGAGTACATGCGGGAGGTGACCACCATCGACCCTCGCTGGCTGGTGGAGTTCGCCCCGGCCTTCTACAGAGTCGGCGACCCGACGCGTCTCAGCCGACAGAAGAGGCAGCAGAAACTGGAGCCTCTGTACAACCGCTACGAGGAACCCAACGCCTGGAGGATCTCCCGCGCCTTCAGACGCCGCTGATGATCTGCTGTGCCTTAAACTAACACCAGGTGGACAAAATCAACAACACGCATACTGACTGAGGCAGCGGATGGCTGGAAAATAAACAAAAACGTCGGGTTCTTCTGTTGAGTCAATGAAAATCAAAACCTCTGGACCTTAATTATTGATCTCACTGAACAACTTTTCCCAGTATTCCAAACTTCATTTTGCCTTCTTGGGTTCATTAACATCATCAGGTGGTCAGCCTGAAGTTTGTAAGCTTTACTTGTATTTTCTATGAAATATGTTACATTTGATTGATTTCAGATGAATTTAAAATCACAACCTTGACGTTTGTTTTTGATATCGGCTGATAAACATTTGCTGTACTTTTTTTTTGCTGCTTGGATATCTGCTTTAATATTATTCATCTATGTCAGGACCAAAAGTTTGTTTTGGTAAAAGGAATATTTTAACAAATGTGCTTCTGTGCTTTTTATCCATAGAGTCAAGAATATATCGCAACTCTCATCTTCTAATATTTTTAGTTCAGCGTAAATTTATAAAATAGGCACACAGCTGGGTGACACAAATCTCACATCCTCCTAACTCATTTAAAGGTCACATATTATTTAAAATACACTTCAGCATGATTTTCTAACTCTAATATGTGTCTCTAGTCCGTCTACAAAACCCCGAATTATGAGAAAAGTCCATCCTCTCCGTCTTTCTCCTGCGCCACTTTTCAGAAAATGTGTGCTCAAACAGGCCGTTTGGAGATTTTCCCTTCATGACATCACAAAGGGCAGTAGCCCCTCCCCCAGGTGGGTGACACTCCCACAGCTAGGTGTTTGTTCTGCCCTCTGAGTCTGCCTTCTCACCGTAAACAAAAGGACATGGAGCGAGAAAGCACTGAGTACACCCAAGCCCTTCCTGAGAGGGGGTGTGGTCAGACAAAGCTCATTTACATATTTAAAGTTACAGACACAGAAACAGCCTGTTCTGAGCAGGGCTGAAATAGAGGGGTTTATAGGCATGATCAAATACAGGATCAGAGTGGATTTAGAACAAGAAACTTCACACATGTTTTGAGGAGCTGAAAGACTCATTTAAACATAATGAAAAAGATAAGAATATGTGACCTTTAAAGCTGCTGATTTACACTTGTACCTTGTTTGTGTCGTATATAAAAAAGGGTACAAACGGCCACATTAGCTGTTTTCCCTTTCACAGCTTTTTTGCTAAGCAGCTGCTAGCAGAACCGTTCCTTGAAGTGACAAACTGTCCCGTTGAACAGCAGTTAAGTTTTGTGATTGTTGGGATCAGTGTTTGATTTGGTTTGGTTAACCAAAGAGACAAATCCCACATGTGACTCATAAGAAAAGAAGTCTGCACTCCAGTTTGCGTATTATTATGGGTATTTATTAAGCAATCTCTTCAACCACAATCGTCATGTCTTGGATTGAACAGGCCTCAGATGTGAGAGGAATGCAACTCTTAAAAACAAAAACAAAAAAGAATCCCTAATGAGATTAATTTAAAACAAAAACACCATAGCCTTATATACAAGTGGAGGGGGTGGGCATGTGCAAGAGGTGCAGGAGGAGGGGGGGGGGGGGTTTCAAGGTGTGTATGATGAAGGGTCGGTACAACAGGAAGATCTCTGAAGGTGGGGAGAAAAGAGGGAGGATGGGTGGCAGGGGGCTGGCTTTTTAGTACATGTAGCCTTTGGAGTAGGGCTGGGGGCCCATGTTTTGGGGGGCTTGTTCTGTGGTGTAGGGGACTCCCTCGTCCAGGTGGGACAGGGGCACGGTGTCCTCCTCGTTAACGTAGCGCTCGAACTCGGCCTTCAGGCTGGGCCGCTGATTGTCGGGGAAGGCCAGAGAGATGAGGGCCTCGGGCTCGCACACAAACTTGTAAACATAGCGCTCGCCCGCCACCTGCAGAGAGGGAGGAGAGAGAGAGGAAGGCTTTAGTCATGTAGGAATGTCACACTTTCAACTCTATCATTGTTTCTTCTATTTGTGCTCACTTTTCAGACTTTACTCTCCTGTTCATGTTTTTCTATCTCTGGTTCTTCACATGTACCGTTCAGGATTCTCTGAAGCTGCTATCTTAAAAAACACGCCTGCATTTCCACCAAAGTGATAACAGCTGTTTCCACATACAGTAAACGTGTTCCCAAAGGAGGATGTTGTTCATTTAACAAGTCAAATGAACAGTAGTAAAAGGTGACGGATCATACTGATTATATTCACGCTTTTCTTTAGATATTACAGGTGTTTTTTTTTTTTATCTGATGGAAAAAAACACATTAGACTCTTACATGAGCGTAAGTGATATAATTTATATTATACAGAAGTTTTAGTTGAATACCTGCTGCTTCATGCTTCAATCACAATAAATATTGATAATAAAAATAATAATGGGCTCTACCATACAGTAAAATACCCAACAATAAACTCCCAATAAAGCCAAGAGAATAAGAACAACAATTATGCAAAAAACAAGAAGACGTAAAAAAGAAACGACCAAAACAATGATTGACTGAAGGAGACAGTTAAAATAAATTAATCAAAGTGGATAAAACAAAGACTACAAGAACGCCTCTGGATCAGAATAAGTCTTTAAAAGAGATTTTAAAAAGACACCTATGTAGCTCGTCTAAGTCTGACTTTAAGGTCAAATCTAAAGTCAAGTAAAATCTGATACTTAAAGTCCAGTTCCTAATGAACTTTTTTTTAAAGATAAACATTTAAAATTAATGCATTTAAACTGAAAGTAAACCGACTTAAAGATGGTTTTTAAGTGCTCTCTTAAAGTTTTGATCAGTTCATGTAACAGATTTAATAAAAGTCATCAGATATTCATTACTTAATCAGAGAGGATGCAGTGACCCAGTTGTTGTCTCGATTTGTGAGGATTAATATGTTTTTTATTTCACTCATATCGATGCCACTCCAACACAGTTTTGCTACGTTTTTTCCTGCAGGATGAGATACATATTTTAATAATGCTGTAGACTCAACATCAGTTAGTAAACATCCCTGCACTGCAACCGTAAAGTGGTACCATGAATGATATGAGTGGGGGGGTTAATGAGTTAATGCAACAGGTTTGCAAAGAGTGCACCACAAACAGAGAATCAATTTTAAGGCTATAAAATCTCTAAGTAAAAGAGCCTGTTCCATACCTTCTGCATGATTCCCTTCTCGTAGTAATAGCGCAGAGAGCGACTGAGTTTGTCGTAGTTCATGGCCGGACGGTTCTTCTGCATCCCCCACAGCCGGGCGACCTGAGAGGAGAGGACAAGAGGGAGAGGAAATGGCTGTGGTTACATTTCTGGCAGCTTCAGTGAATCTCATTTTAAGGTCTTTTTTGTTATTTACATGATTTTGTACATCTGGAGGAGAAAGTCTTCCTCGGGTGACACGTCAACAGCAGTGAATTGTTTGTGTCAGCATTTTTTTTCCCCCCTGAAGGTTCAGATTCCCAAAATCCTAATTAGACACAGTTGTGCGCATTTCCACACTTCGGCCACTAGGGGTCCTCGCTGGAAAGCCCAAAGTCCCCTCTGCTTCTTTAACAAAACAGAGTAAACACGCCAAGACCTGGGCGAGTCCCCACATGTGGATTCACTTCCTTTTTATGTAACCCATTACCACTTGAATACAACCAGAGTCCCACAGTGTTCGCAGTGAAATAAGAGTCATGGCTGGTTGTCAAAGGCAGGCCATGAAATACACCCCCCCTCACCACCCCCCCAACCCAAAAGTGAACTCTCAGCTGACGAGGGACCACTAACTCTAATCGAGAAATTAGTGTTTCACAACCCCACACGGGCACAAAAAGTAAATCAAACCATGTCACAACAGTGGAGGATCTTTTTTGTTTGTTGACAAACACGTTAGATGGTGGGGGAAAATCTGTAAAGATTGGGGGGGGAGGGGGCCAGGCTGAGATTCATGACTCAGGAGGAGACGGGTTGTATCCCACAGTGGCCATCAAGCCAGCAGCCCTGTTTGATCTCTGAGTGTGCTCTCAGCCCTAATTGCTCTTGTAAAACTCTTTACCCCATCCATTTTTAATGTACAGTAAAAAGATAATGGAAAACACGGTATAGACTGGCTGGATCTGCCTAAATGGACGCCGTCCTGACGCGTCCAATCAAATTTCAGTCTTAAACATTGCAAAAATGTCTCGTCTCTAAAGAAATGCGAGGAGGTGAGCGAGAAAGGGGAGTGTTGGGTGATTCTTTGATAGCCAGCTTGCCCTTCATTTATCAATCCAGAGTTGCATGTGTTGAATAATGAATGGGCGACTAATGGACGATGGATAGGAGAACAGACCTGGGCAGAAAGTGGTCAAATCTCACTTCTAATCACTCTATATCTACGTAGCGCCTTTAAACCCTGCACCCCAAACACTCTGTTGCTGCTCGAATCAGATTTATATGAACGTCTCGATCCCTATCAACACTTCTCCGCTATCTCTGAACGAGGCCATACAGTAAAACTCAAAATACTGCTGAAGCATTTTAAATTAATGTCTCAGAATCAGATAATTTTACTACAGTCAGAGATATCCTTACTAGAGCCCGACCGATAAATCAGCAAGCCGATACTAGCATATCAAGTAACTATCGGTATCGGCTCATTTTATTGAGATATGCACCGATATTACTAGATTTATTCAGCAGTCTGTTTTGATTTGAGTATCATGGTATTAAACTAGCAGTTCTCTTTCACCAGCAGAGGTCGCTATGTGGATTACAACAAGCATTATTACTATGCAGGGTGTCAAGCGGAGATGCAAGTTATTTTCTAGTTGAGTGAGTTCAGAGAGCTACATGTGTCTATAGCTATGATTCTCTACAGAACGAAGGTAGAACGAAGAAAGTTATCGGCCAATATATCGGTGTCAGATTTTTTTAAATCCCGAAAATCGGCCAATATATCGGTATTGGCCCCAGAAATATCATATCAGTCGGGCCCTCGTCCTAGCACTACTTTTTACTACTAACCAAGCAAGACAATTCTAAACATCATTCTTCTGCGATAAACAGAGCTTCCTAAACCTTAACTGATCATTACCTTAAGATTCAGTTTGGCTGCATGATGCTTGCAGAACATTTAAAGAACGTAGACTGTTTCTAATAATAAAGAAGGAACGTATGTACATCTGTCCTTTGATTTTCCTTTAAACTGGTTAACAGGTTGTTTATTTCAGAGAGCCCGAGGGACTTCGTGTCAAACGTAATACCAGATGGTAACACAGTATCAACGAAATGTACAATTTGGTCTTTAACGCTTAAACTGTAAGTCTCATAACTAGTTTTTCTACTGGATAATATGGGTCAAAATATGTCTTTCTATAAAAACCTTGCCAATTTCTGTCTTAAACCCCCCATTTTCCCCCTTGTCAGAATTTTGTTAATTCCCCACTCCCTCTATTTCCTCTCCTAATCTCTGAGCAATAGTCCTCAATTAATTGCCAAACCAAGAAAATGAGTGCGAAGGTTCTCCTTCTTCCTGGTTATGGTAATTCAAAGCTTGATCCAAAAGAAAACCACAAATGAAAAATCATAATACAGATATTCTCCTAGATCCTGGACACTTACAACCACATTTTGAAATGTTTCAACATGATATCTGAGGCTCCACCCAAACAAGCACAGCACTAGTTGAAGTCAAATTTAAAATGTAGGATCTTCTCTGGCAAATGTTCTTTCTTTAAACTTAACTTTAAGGCCTGAATAGTAAACCATTCTCTAAGACAACACCATAACCCCCTCTGGGTCAGAGTTCCCAAAAAAGGAAGTAAATCAGCATCTTTTTGGACTTGAGGAAAGATTAAAGTTCAGCAGTACCTCCTCGGGTTCGATGAGTTTGAACTCCATGCCGCGACCGGTCCAGGCGATGAAGTGAGAGTTACCCGGGTCGTCCAGCAGGGCCACCAGGAACTGCCAGAGCTGCAGAGAGCCTCGGCGCTGGTACGGTGTGCCCTCGCGAAAAACGCCGCCGCCCTCCTGCTTTACCTCCCCTGGAACGAGAAGAGAAGTGTCATGGTGCCATTTTCACAAACATCAAAATGCTTATTTTTTAATTAGAACTTGCAGTAACGCTATGAAAGACATTTTGATATTTAATGCATGTTGGACACAGTCATCTGCATCAAACCATTAAATCACACTCACTGGTTCTTATATAACGTGTGCAAACAAGGAACATCAGACTATAAGAGCTAGAAGGTCTCTGAATCAAGTAGGTCAAGTGCATCGTCGGGTCATCTTATCTTGATGTTTCATGTTTGCATACTGACGTCGACCGCTTATTAACAACACTTAAATTGCAGAGTTGAGTTGAGACAGAAATAGTAACATTTTCTGGCGCCAAGAAGAGTCCTTAGATATCTAGAAGTAAAAGGAATGCGCGCCTTCTTGCGATAGAAAATAAAACAAAGACATGATTACTGATGCTGGGTTAAAGCCACATGGTCTGGTAAGTGGACACTGATTCTTGTTCTGTTCTGGTTGTTTACCTTGTTACTGGATATGTTGTACACAAGTGTGGGAAACCTGAGGAGCTCAGCTAAGTTACCGCTCGCACCCTTCACTGGTTCAACCAGTGCTGACACCCTCGGGCTCTCCACTCAATCTCCTTTAGCATCAATCACCAACACCAGCGACACCATGGGAAACTACTCTCGCCTTGACAGAGGAGCTCTACCTTGTGTGTGTGTGCAGAAACAAAACCCACTAACTAAGCCTGAGAGCATAAAGACCCATGTACCTGTTACACAAGCGGCCCTGACGTCACTACAACGAGCGAGGTCAGCTGTATGGATTGGAGCAGATGACGTTTGCGGGCTAGAGTTTCTCTGTCATACCCGCCGTCTAACAACTAACACCTCTACCAGAGGGGGTTTGTGGTGTGAAATTGCATTTTTGTGTGTGTGGAGGCGGAGGAGGAGGGATTGTGGGATGGCTCACCTTCGAACTTCTCTGGAACCACACGGGAGTCGTTTTCGAACAGATAGCCTGCGAGACAAATGGAGAGTTGTATTTAGAGTTTAGCGGTGCCTTGACCCTAGCGTAAATGAACTTGAGATTGTAAAAGCGTCTTCTGACTACTCAAGGTGCTTTTTACACTGCAGGTCACACCTGCACATTCACACACTGATGGTAGAGGCTGCAGAGTAAAGTGACCATCAGGAATAACTAATACCATTCATCCACATTCACACACCGCCGCTGAAGCAGAAGGAGCAACTTTGGGGTTAAGTGTTTTGCCCAAGGACACATCGAACATGTGGTTGCAGGAGCTGGGGATCGAACCCCAGACCACTTGAGAGACGACCGACTCGACCACTGAGCCACAGCCACTACGTTGTTCATTAGGGATATGTGCCGAGATTTGAATACAATCCTAGCAAAATACAAAAATCCTTTTGTACAAATAATAAACTGCAAGCCAGCATGTATATCATAATGTTTAATGAAGTTTAAAAAAGTATAAAAATCCCTTCACCAAAGTAATTTCAGTCATTTTAAACCCTCCTTGTGCTTCAAATAACAGAGGGGTTAGAAAAAAGGAATGACCCAAGATGTTGCATAAAACAATGAAAGCAAATGGAAGGTTTGTTTTCCCTTTTTTGCAGGGGAAATAGTGCCTTTTTTCCCCTGGAGTTATGTTTATTCAGGGATTCTTTAGGCAGGGGTGAGGCGAGGGCCCCTGCCAATGGAAACATAGAACCACTGCCGCTCAGCCAATAGAAACACGGACACTCTACGCCGGTTAAACCAATGACCACAGAGCTCTGACCAGTAAAGTCTCAGGGCAGATAAAGTGCTGGAGTAGAGATGTAATTGCAGTATTTGCATCTCTACTACATAAAGAACAGTTTTAACAGACTGGGTGCTCTAAAAGATTTTTGGCAGTGAAAGTGGGAAAGAAGATTTGGAGGATTCTTGTTACCTTCATTGCTGTGCTGGGGGTTTGGGTAGCCCTCGCTGTGGTGGTACATGGAGGGACATCCAGGCACATCTGTAACAGAACACAACCAGCTATAGGTCAGAATTTGATTCAAGCTACAGTAACTGTACACCAATCCAGTTCTTGAAATAGTTCTCTAAAAAACTGATTTCCCAATTCACCTTGAAATTTAACTTTATCGCCAAAAGTGCGTCTTTAAAGCTCCTGTGAGGACTTTTTGTCTGGTTATGAAACAGGCTAAAATGAATACTGATGCATCAATATTAGCTCCAAAAGTAATCCAGACCATCAGGAAGAAGACTGATTAGTTGTATAGTTAATTTCTAATGTTTAAAACTAATCCCAGGGGGGTAGGTGTCGGAGGAGGAGTTTAGATTATTAGATATTTCCAAGCAAGAATCATTATGAGTTGCACGTTACACATTTACAACAGAGACCGTTGCGATTTTTCTTGTCATAAAACACTACTAACACAAGTACAAGAAAAAGAAAAAGCAGAGAAATATTAGTATACACTTTGTCCACAGGGGGCGCCAAAAGTGACGTTACCCAAAAGTTCCTCTCAGGAGCTTTAACCAACTATTTATTGAAGTAGTGTGATGAAAGCACACACTGACGCTGTGCCCCCCTCGCTGAAACCGTCTCGCCTCTGTTACTACCTCTGAAGACGATACAGGGGGGGGGGGGTTCACTTCCTCCCCCCTCCCCATGACGCCTCTGCGACATTCAGATTGAAGGCAAAATGTCTCATGGGTGTAAATATCGCGGCATGAAACAGCAGTCTGAAAATGGCTCTGAGTCAGGACTCTTTCTTTGTCTACCATCTTGGATTTTTGCAGCAGCTCTTGTAAATCACATCTTTCCTCCTGAAACCCCCCCCCAGGGAAAACTTCAGGCTTTGGGGGACTTATGGGAATAAGCAACTCAAGAAGATTTCAGGGGCAGGTCCAGTAAAAAAAAACCCTAAACATACCGCTTACTAAGCTAATCATTTAGAATGCGGTGTCTCATATGGATATATTGTGTGATTGTCCCGAGCATTGCAAGGACAAACTGTGCATTCATCATATCACTTCTCTCGTCTGTGGGCGGTATTTTTAGGCCATGAGACAGCACCTCCAGCAGACCAGAAAAGTGGTACAGTATACAGTGTCTGCACTTTATCTGGGGCTCATCACTGACTTGTCTCGTGTCGGTGCATTCACAAAAATAGATTGTATAACCCTGGTTCAAATGCCCACAAGCAAAAATCCTCTGCATGTTGGAACACCTCTGAAGCACAGTTATGTTATAATGACTTCTTCTGCAAATCGGGAGGGGCGTCACTAACAGATTTGTACTCCACATCCTGTGACCGCTGCGTTCACCCTTTTGTGTATGTTTTTTGTATGTTTTTTTCTCAGGGCATAGAAAACAGGCGTGTCGCAGACTATTGTGTATTTGTTTGTCTGCTTTAATTCCGTCTGTGTGAACAAGACGAGCGAGAGCATAACAAAAAAAAAAAAAAAAAAAAAACTGAAAAGGTGCAGCTCGTTGCCTCTGGCCCCCGGGGCTGTGACTCACTCGCGGGGAATGCAGCCGAAGCTCTGCAACTCTGATAAGATGCCATTGGGGGAAAAAAATCAAACCCCTCTGATTGTGGAGGGCGGCAGCACTCGATCACACTGTAAATAATACGTCCGCCCGCAATGGCAGCTCTCTCCCCACCAGGGAGTGATGGGTAAGATTAGGTATGAGAGCAAGCCAGGGTTAAATTGTGCACCGAGTGGCATGACCATTTTTGTGTCTTTCATGCGATACAATAGCGATGATTAAGCGCTGGTAATTCCTTTTTTGTTCATTAAGAGTTTCATTCTCAGGCTTGCATACTCGTGACATTTGGCTTTCATTGTTTACTTTGTGCACATGAGGAAACACAGGTGTTGTTTTCTTTACACGCTATTGACCTCAGAACACTTTGTGCGCTCCATTAACTTTTTTCTCATGACATACCAATAACCTTTAAGAGTTTACACTCAATTATAAAAGCATGAATGGGCGGCAACATAAACAGCAACCGTTGAAAACAGTGTTTCTTTCTTTTCCACCTTATTAGTTTTTTGTTTGCAGGCTGCATTCATTCTGAAACTTTGAACACAAATGATCCAATAAACTTCTCTTCCTGTGTCAGTAAATTCAATGTATCATCAATTTAATACTCATAACTCCTTTTAATTGATGCTGGGTTAAAGTTTCCTGCTCAAACGGATGTTTTTAATTGTTTTTTTTTTAAAAGACAACCTGGAGTCAAATGACTAATATACAGAAGAGTGTTAGTGCTGGGAAGAAGACGATTCAATTGCCCACAGTCAGAACAAACATGGGGAAAGAAAACATTCAAACAGGAGATTCATTGTTTTTCTATTTTGTCAGAAACAGAACACATTCAAGGAATTTACCTCAGTGTTTTTGTTGCAAAAAAAAAGAAGATATGATATAAAAGTAGAGAGTGAACAGCAGTACTCCGACAGTCACAGGACTTAGATACAAAAAAAAAAAACTGTAAAACAAATTAAATATAGAAACAATAAAATACAAAGATATGTACAGTTGAGCAGGAAGATGTTATTTGCTTAATTTGTTTATTAAAAAGAGTTTGTTGGGCAAAGTCATTCGATGAGAAAAAAACGTATCATCAAATGTTTCCACTTACTCTCAAAAGCAAAAAAAAAACCCTCCTGTTACTTCAATTTAATATTTTAGTTGTGATTTGTTGTGATAAATTGGTGAAACTTAGCAATAGTAGTGTGAAGTTTTTTTTTCCTTTTCAACTGATAGTTTGTCGTCCTACGCTCCTACTTCATGAGAACATCTCCTTAAAAAAGAGGAGTTTTTTTAATGTTTTTTTTTATATGTCTGGCCTTCATGATCTTCATTATCTTATATGTCCTCATGAAATATTACAACTGTTTAAACAAAAGAATCCACATCTCATGACAGCCCCATAAAATACTCTACTATTGTCACTAAAAGATCAGGAAATGATTTTTTTTTTTTACTTTTCTAACCAAAAGTCAGTCATTAAGGCAGATCTTCTTCATGCCCTCTTCTTTAAATCATTGTCTCACTCGGTTGTATATGAGAGGCTTTGCTCTATCAGGTCTTCTGAATCAAATCTGTGTCCCTGCAGTAGCTTGTTAAACGTGCTGCGTGTTGTTGAAGGCTCTACAACATAAAGATAAACTCTGCTCTTTTGTGTCCCCTCGGCTTCTGCAGCCGGTCAAAACTCATATCAGAGACACTTGAGAGGAAACCCCGCCAAATGCAACTCTCTCCTCCTCCTCCTCCTCGCTGCTGTTATCCACAGAAAAAACATCCTTTTGTACTTTTTGTATGTTTTTCCTTCAGGTTGTACGGTTCACTCTATCAAGTGCAAGACTTGAAAAACATAGCTTGTAAAGAATCAGGTTCTATGTCCTGTTTTTTCTTTTATTGTGTGTCGAGTATGTTGGTTTCAGCTCTTAATTAAGGGCATGCAAACATAGGAGCGGTAGATGACGCAACTAAAAGCGTTCCTGTAGCAGCTTTAATGCAGGTGAACGAGGACAACATGTATGTGAAGCTTTATGTTTCTCCCCCTTGTGTTTTGTGTTCTGACAGGCAGAGGAGCTGGTTTCTGTGCTTGTTTTTTAAAGTGCCTGTGCTGGCCACCCCACCCCAACCCCCCCCCCTCCAGTCACCCACCATTCCCTCCCCCCCCTCACCCTCTCCTCGCCCGGCCAGTGAGAGGTTCGGGTTACTGCGGCCACGCTCATTTTTCCATTATGAGTTCATCTGCCTGCAGAAAAAGGAAGCCGCTGGTGCAACCTGAAACCCTGGAGCACTCCACCAGGGACTCTAGTCTTTCCAGTGCCCTCCATTTTCTCAATGAAATTCCTCTGCCTCTCTCTCTCTCTCTCTCACAGAGAGCAGCAGGGGGAGGGAGGGAGGGAGACGGGTGAGGGAGGAGGAGAGTAGCTGCAGCAACAACAAAAAAAACCACACTTTTTTCTTTGCTTTGCAAAGTGTCAGAGAGTTGAAAGGAGGAGTTTTGGAGGCACGGAGGGAGTCGAGTAGGAGTGTAGATACAGTGAAGAAGTTTGTTTGCCTTTTGGACATTTTGTTCTTGAGTTCGCTGAGCGCGCTGGCGAGGGTTTGTCTTTAAGAGGACTTTTGTGAAGTAGAGTTCAAAGCCAAATTACCCTAAACAATGATCCTACCATTGTCCAGATTCTATTTCTAATTCACACATTCAGACCTCGCTCTGATAAATGCTCAAATTTACCTCATGGAAAGAAATCAGAGTTAGCTGTATGACTCATTTTCTTGTGATTTGACCTTTTTTGTTGTACTAGACCTTCAGTAAACATGCAGGGGTAATTATGTATCCCTCCATACTTCAAATAAACAGATTATACATTTCAAGACAACAGAAAATGTTGTTTTGTTCAGCTAACTCAGCGGACAAAAAAAAAATGTATCTGCTAGTCAAACACATGTCAAAACATCCCCAACATCTTTGGGGCGCCGGTAGCCTAGCGGTTTGAGGCTTTAGTCCTCCAAGTGTATGGCCTGGTTTCAAATTCTACCTGTGGCTCCTTTTCCACATTTCATTCCCCTCTCTCTCTCTTTCCCTGATTTAAGACTCTACCACTGTCTGATCTCTACAATAAAAGTCACTAACAGCCCAAAAATACATCTTAAAAAACAAAACCAAAATCTGCTAGTTCACGTCCCAAGCCGTAGTTTCATAAGAGTATGAAATGCCTCCTTGATGAATATTATCTTTCATGTAATGGACTCAATAATCAATAAATAAAATCTGCTGTTCTCTCAGTGGCTCATTACACCAACCATGACCATTTTAACGGCCTTTAATGAAGCTGAAAAGAAACAGGAAGTACCGTAAAGCGAGGGAGGAGTTATCATAAAGCAAAGTGTAAGCCTTTGTATGTTGGACCAGGTGAGCTTCCAGAGTGACCCTACTCCCCCCTCTCATGTGAATTAGAACTTCAAACTCATTCAAAAGACAAACCTAAATATCGTCTAAACCACTCACCGGGTTCGTAGGTGTAGTCTGTCGGCTCCTGCTTCACCATCATGTGGGCTGGTGGGAACCTGTGTGGGAGCGGGTGTGAGTGCGGATGTGGATGGGGGTGAGGGTGTTGGTGTTGGTGTTGGTGGGGATGGGGGTGAGGTCCTTGTCCGTGTCCCGGCCCGCTCCGGTGTCCCGGGCCCGCCATGTGAGCCGCCCGCTCGTACAGCGGGTCCATGTACTCCTGCTTAAAGCTCTGCTGCAGGTACGGCATGCAGGGGTCCGAGTGCTGCCGGTGATAACCTCCACCTCCTCCTCCTCCTCCTCCTCCACCCCCTGGTCCTCCACCTCCACCTGACCCACTGCCTCCATGTCCAGCAGGGGCAGATGGCATGCGCTGAAAGGCCTGCCCCGGTGGAGGGAACTGGGGGCAAATGGGTCTCCTGAGGCGCCCTGATACCTGGAACTGAGATGTTAGACACAACAGCTTATTACACCATCCTGCAGAATCCAAATAAACAAACAGCCTTCATAAACAACAAACTATTCATTCTGTATATATGTGATCTGCAGCTTTAAGAATAAATACATCGTGTCTAGGCTCCACATTTTCACTCATGTTACTGGATAGTCTTGACACTTTTATTAGATTTTATTGATGGTAAAATAATCTCTCCTCAGCTTCTGTTATGTAGGACTTTTGCTTGTTTGTAAAGGAAGTAATACAACTTTAAAGAACCTCTTTGAAAAAGTTTCTTCTTTGATAAAATAGTCCATTCTATCTGTGATATTAATATACTTCCAGTATACTTGTGTCTTGTAGCTCATAAATTAATTTCATTAGAATAAAACAAAAAGGTCATACCAAACCTTTGACACTTTTTAAAATGTTCCTTGTACAAACTCAAAATTGTATAAAAACTAAACTGATAATGTGATCATATAAACAACCCATGTACGGTAAAATCCTTATCACTAGCTACTGCCCGTACTGTACTGCCCTGGATAATCACAGGACGTCTTTGCAAGAGAACGCAGCTGTCAATCACCTGGGGTTGACGGGGTAACTGTTGCTAGGCAGTGGCTGGGAGGTGGCGGCGGGGTTCATGTAGCCGGCGTCTGGCCGTCCGGCCGTGGCGGGTTTAGGGGAGTAATGCTGCTGCATGGGAGACATGGGGGTCCCCGGGCAGGAGCTCTTGGCTCCTCCTGCAGCCCTTTTCTGCTCATAGGCACTGCAACACATGAAGAGGACATGCATACATGTATGAAGACTGATGAAAACAACAACAGGGTCAGCCGGGGAGGGGCTGATAAGTTATTTTCAGTCAATACAACAAACATCCTAATGGTCAGAGGTTGAGTGGTCAATAGCATGTGGTGGGGGGGGGGGGGGGGGGTGAAGTCGTTTTGTTTCCTCTTCTCAAGCCTTTGCATATTTACTGACATTTTTTTTTTTTTTTACCAGAGTGGTAATAAATCCTGCTTATGAATCTGTGCTATAATACAATTTGAACAATGTTAAAATAAAGGAAGCCTGGTAGAGGCAAGACATGAGGAGAGGAAATGACAAGCCTCTTCTTTGCTCTTATCTAGGAACCAAAACTAAGAGCAAAGACCAGAACCTAACCCGGGTCTGAGAAAATAAAAGTAAAAGTAAAGAAAAGTAAAACCATGTCACTATGCAATACCAATAATACATTGATCATATATCCAGGTGTGCAGATAGCTTTGATGGTATTTGTTGTGCGTGATCTGTCACTGCCTCCTCATAGAGAGGATGAGCAGTGATTTGTTTGTAAGTGTTGTAAAATAACCTTATTTTTGGTGAGTAGAAGATTTGATACCATAGTGGACATAGACGTCCAGAAGTCATGACTCTACCACTTTGAATCCTGGAATTTGGCTGTTTCTGAGGTCACCATCTTTATTTTTTCGGGAGCTAGGAGTGACCATATTTGGACAAAACGGTGGATACAAGTCGCTACGCCTCCCTCCGAGTTTAGAGGACACTGTGACAAAAAGCTGTCAATCACATCACACTCTGCTGAGTCATATGTTTGACTCTAAACGGATCGTTATTTAGAAAGTGACCGTCATGATGTACCGTAGACACTTAAACTGTACTTGACCATGAAACTCATTGGAAAAACTTTACTTTAAATCAAGCGTTAAGTAGGCTCAGTTTCTCATTGACTTCTATTCAAAATTCTGTCACCAGAGGAATCACCTCTTTCTTCACTTTTCTCTAAAAGTGGCAACGTCCATTTCTTACATATTCTGTCTTTACTTCTTGCTTTAAAAAAAAAATGTATTTCATTTAGATAGGAGAGTGGAAAGAGTCAGAAATCCGGGCGGATTGAGAAGGTGCCACAGGTCGGTTTTGGACCCGGGCCACCCGCTTGGAGGACTATAGGCTCTGCACATCGGGGTGCTTGCGATAACCACTAGGCTACCGTCGCCCCTCTGTCTTATTTCTGAGGAAACAATCTGTTTTGTAAGGTTAAACCTGGAGGACTATATGTTTGTTTGTTTTGCTTATTGGTTGATTTTTTTATTTAGTTAAAGCAACAAAACCAATATTCCATTCACCTTCACATATCGGGATTGAGGCAAAATCTTGGGGATGGATATCTCAGAAAACATATTGAAGACTATAAAACACTGAAGACAAGTCAGACATGTTGTTCTTTTGGATTAGTAATGTGGGTGCTCTGGTTCAGTGGAACATCTCAAAGGGGTTGGGGTCTGAGAAGAACCTGGTGTACCTGGCATAAAGGCACTGCTCTCCGCTGGGGTAGCTGAAGCTCTGCTTGTGGCTACAGGACTGGCTGGGGTCGGATCCCGGGCTCTGCGGCTCCTTCTTGATGGTGACTGGCGGGCTGTGAAATGCCACCGCTGTAAAGACACACAGGACACACAGAGAGATCAGCTTTTTGTGTATTCTTCTTCTCATTCAGCCCTTCCCCGATACTACCGTCATTAGGCTGAAAGAGGCCAAACGCAAATACTTCTGTCTGCACAGGAATCTCTTTTATGTGCCAGCCAAAATGCTTAAGTGACTGTCATCTATACAAAACACAGGGCAGTGGACAGACGCGTATAAACACCCACTAGACGAGAACAAGAACGGCAAAAGAAACACACACGCTCACACACGACTGCATTCCAGCAGCCCAAAGCGTCCTCGCCCACTTTTCTTCACTCCTCCAGACACAACAGCAGCCAAAACTTCCTCTGTCAAAGTCGAGCTCTGAAGGTAAACAAGTCTACGGGCCAGAGAGATGTCTGCACACTGATGAAAGCGAGTGTCACACCTCTGTTGGAACAGCATATACACCCCCAGTTCTGTGTTTGGCATTCTTTCCTATTGGTATCCAGATGTTGGCCACAAGTTTTGCTTTTGGCTTTTTCAGTTAGGAAGAAGAAAAGAGTCATTTTTGATTTTCTAACTTCATATTTTTTAAGCAACATGTTCCAGTTTGATTTTACCCCTCAGAGGCATCCGCTTAATCTCCAGCTCGCCAAACTGTCCATCAAGTTGCACTGCTGGAGGGGACCTTTGCCTCGACGGCCACAGAAACCACCCAAAGTGGAGCTTCAAACTGTGCCGAGGGCTTGTGTTTATTATGTGAGGGGAGGTTTTCACCCGGAGAACTGTACAGGATGTTTTTCTGGTCCCGACAGGGTAAACAGCAGCAGCTGTGCACTTCCAGCTGGGGAGGCCTGTATTTATGTGTGTGTGCACAAGTGTGAGATTGCATGTGTGTGTGTGTGTGTGCGTATTAGAAATCTTGGCAATCTGTGTGCACATATGCTGAAAAGTGCATACGTGTGTGTGTGTGTGTGTGTGCAGTGGGTGTGGAGCTGACGGAGCGGGCCACACTGAAAGCTCAGCCCAGGTAATTACATACCGCCGTCCATTCACAAAAAAAGGAGCAGTAAAAAAAATGTCTGTCTGACTGAATGAAGCTGGAATCTTCTGTTTTACTGAGGCGAGAGATGAAAGTGAAAAAAAAAATGAAGGAAGAAGAATAAAGCGGACCAAACCACGAAGGACCTTGAGGATCTGCTGTGACAGTCAGGATCAAGACGGATGAACTCAGCTCCAAGTACAAAAAGTCTTTGAATAAAAAGCACAGATTTAAAACTGTTTCTATTCATGCTGAATTGTTCGGGTGCATTCCCAAAAAGATAATGATCGACATAAGGACAGTTTTATAAACCTTGAAAATGTGAGCATACAGCATCTTGTAGTGCTTTGCACAAAATTCCTGAAAACTTCTTGAATTTTTTAGGGCCATCAGCAGAATTTTTCACCCTGACTTTATCCAGAACACCTTCTGCATTTTCCGCATGAAGTCAGGGTGAGCTGACGTGAGAACACAGCAGGAAATATTCAGGTAAAATTCACTAAAGGAAGCGGGGGGTTTCACAGTGCAGCTATTTTTTTGAAATTTTCAGGAACCCGTCTTAGGAAATGTCTAAAATGGCTCTAGAAAGCAAAAAAATAAACCCATTTAAGATTAATCTCTTGGTTTCATTTTCAGCTATTTTTAGCATTAACAAAATTCTTCTTCTTTCTTAAGTCTTCCTCTTTTTGTATCTTCTAAAATACACATATTCTCTTCAATAGGTATTCAAAATGGGATTGAGCAAGTCTCTATGCTCACACAGCTTTACTGGGTTGTCATTCATGAACACCCACTGAATCTTGTGTTGTGAAATTTGTTTATTTTTCTGGTATTTGTGCTGTAAAAAGTAACTTTTCTTGGATCCGCCTGCATTGAGATTGCGATTATATATAAAAAACCAAAAAACAAAACTGAGCCCGACAATCAAAACCGTGCCACTCATCGTCATAACCTTCCTATTTTCTCTTCAATAGGTATTCAAAATGGGATTGAGCAAGTCTCTATGCTCACACAGCTTTACTGGGTTGTCATTCATGAACACCCACTGAATCTTGTGTTGTGAAATTTGTTTATTTTTCTGGTATTTGTGCTGTAAAAAGTAACTTTTCTTGGATCCGCCTGCATTGAGATTGCGATTATATATAAAAAACCAAAAAACAAAACTGAGCCCGACAATCAAAACCGTGCCACTCATCGTCATAACCTTCCTATTTTTGGCCCGGGGCTCACTCTCCCATGGCAGGCAGGCAGGTGAGGAAGCGTTGGCTTTAGAGGAGATCAAACAGGATTAGAGAGCATTTACCCAGATTTCCCAGACAGACACGATGGGATTCCAGCCTCCTCTGAGTCTCCCGACAGCTCGTCTGCGAGCGAGTACACAGAGGGGTGGCACATGACCGCCGCTCCAATAATACTACTGTGTTTGTCTTTTCCCCCCTTTCTCTGCCATGGTCATGAACTGCAAACAATCTCAGAGAGCGTACACTCAGAGTGCAGCCAAGTGGAGACACTAATGTGATTGGCAGCAATTTAGCCCTTGATGTGGCTCCCGGTTTACGAGGATGTTCTGTTTCAAAAAGTCCGGCCTGGGATCGGCGTCAGACGGCATATGGAGGGGTTTGTGTGTGTCTTTGCCGCAGTCATTTATGTATGACCTTCTAGAATTTAGATTAATTTGGTAAATGAACACCAGGCAGTGTTTTGTGTTTGTATATTTGCCTGCGATTGCAAATCTGATATGTTGCATCCGTTTCCGATTAGGAGTTGATGGTTGCTGCTCTGATAAACAATTTGTCAAACAAGGCTACGCCAATCTAAAAAGCTATTGATCACTGAGCCAAGGAGAAAATCACAAAACTCCACAGACTTTGATCTTGAAATCTGAATTCGATTGTCATGAATAAATACATTTGGGCAAGACTTAGAGGCTACAGTCGTGCTAGCAGAGGCTGTTTTAAAAAAAAACGTTTAAACAATTTAAAATGAAGTAATCCCTTTCCAAACAAGCATTTCAGAAACACTCCACTGTACCACCGTTAACAGGAAGCTGTCTGCTCTGCAGTTGGTTGCTAAGTTGCACAAAATACTACAAACGCAGGACAGCAAAAAGGAGATTCTCTGTTTGAACCACAGTGTTTGAGACTGTTTGGGCCAAGGTCGAAGTTTAACTGTAAGCTACATGCAATCCCTGAGAGTTGAGATTCAAATTGGTCAAGTGGTACTTTAGACAAAGTCACTGTTTTAGGGGGTTTGGTAGGAAAAAAAACCTTCTTTGTGTGTTAGGATAAACTGCAGGAAAAGTAAGGTGTTTGCGCCTAAGGTGAAGTAGCATTTTGAGCTAAGCGCTAAAGTCAGTAGGCTTCCACATTTGCAATGCCGTAAAGAACAGGCAGATATATAAAATAAATACCATGCTCATTGGCTTGGTTTAGCTTGTTAAGTGCAAATATTCCCCAATTATCACATAGCATGAAGTACAGTAGAGTCTGCAAAAAGGATTTCTAGGGAAAGGTCAGATGATATCCAAAGTTATTATCCTAAGGGGACAAGAAAAACTAAACCAAATTTAATTGTAATTTGCTAAAAGAATCAAACATAAACCCTTAAGTGGGGCAAAAGTAAAGCAAAATGGTCACCAATTTCATTAAGACACATCATCTGGTGACCATGTATGTCAATTTTCATGAGATCATTTGTCAGGTGAATGTTGAGATGCTTCAATGCATATCTTTAAGTGATAAAGGTGCACGATTTTAAAATTAGGGAATTGCCAAACTCATAAGAATACATCCCCTGTGGACCACCAATATTTGTACCAAATTTCACCCCAATTGATACTAAGGATTTTACGTTCAGCCTGGAGAAAAGCAAGACTGCCAGAGTGGGGAACAACACAAATTTGATAATAATTTATCTCCAAGTTCCAAGAGTGATCCCTAAAACAAACTCTGCTCTCCACCAAGTATTCCGAACTCTCCGGTATATTACAGTAAATCCTCCCGTCTGAATGATGTCAAATCTGCTGCTTTGGTTTACACGGAGGTGGCAGTCTTGTAAACGGATCCAGTGAGAGTTACGATCTACAGGTTCCCTTCTCTTCCTGCTTTTGTTCAGGGCAACACGGCCCTCCTGTTAACTGCTTTGTTGAATGTTACATCACCCTTTCAAGAGTGTCTTCTCTACGGCGAGGGGGGGGGGGTGATCAGTTCGTGAACTTCAGCGCAGAGCGTGAAGGACCTGAAAGGTGTTTAGAAGTGAAAAGACATATACAGTACACAGTCGATGCAGAGATGACCCTCAGCTGAAGACAGGGTGGAGATGGACTTTTACATATGTAAATGTTAGCTCTTTGAGGGGGGAGGGCGCGGGGTGAAAGGTGATGGTCATGGTTGAGTGCTTTAGGAAGTCGAGGGATCATTACATGGGGGGGGGGGGGGGTGTCCTATTCAACAGACACCCACCACAAACAAATCGTAAGAGAAGAGATGGCAACCCCCAGCACACACACTCCATACACACACACTACTTTACACAATGGGCCCCTCAGCTGAGCCACACGGAGGAGGTAGTGTGAACACGTCAGGAAACATTATTGGATTCCTCTGGGATTCCTAAAAAAACACAACCAGCCCTGATACTATAGATCCAGAAAACAAGGTTTGCATATTAAAAAGCATGGTTGTAATACATTAATACAGTTTTGAAATTAAATTTATCTTAATGAAAGTTCAGAATTTTACGCTTTTTTTTAAATTGTAAATTAGAATAGGTTAGCTCACTGTGTGGATATTTGGGTTATAGTTGTTGAGAAGTGGACGAGTCATAGGAATAATTATGAACTTCATTCTTCTTAGTTTTGAACATATAGCCTGCTGCTTGATTTTTGTTGAAAATTGTTGTACAGAGGTGTTTTCACACATGCACAAAACTCCTGAGGATTATCAGAAAATTTCCAAAGAAGCTGCATGTGTGAACAAGCAGAGG